AAAAAATGTTTTAACAACCTTGTTCATGTTGTGTAACTAAAGAGTAGACAGGGGAGAATAGATTTCACCCTGTAATGTAAACTAGTTCTTGAGGTTTCACTTATTAACCAGCATTACTGCAGTGTGGGTGATACACACAATACAATTTAAGAGAGGGGTGCCCAGATTTAAAAGATGTGTCATCTGTAGACAAGTTACACCCACTACCAAGAGTTATTAATATGTGTTGTCCACTTGATTGATTTTCATTCTGGTTTACTCTAACAGCATCATCCTAAACTTTGGTTTTGTTTATTTCTCTATCCATTCCTAATCCACAACCCCACCTTTGTCACATGAACATGCTTGTAGCTGGATTGAATAACTCATAACATAACCAGCTTCATAATACAAGTTATCCAGGATCAGGCTGAGTGAAGCCAGCTCAGAGCCAGACGAAGCAGGACTCTCTTTACAGGTCCCAGATGAACTCCAACGTCTTGTCCCCCAACTATGTTTAAAATCCATTTACTCCTTTCAGTCATTCATGCTGATGGTTGAAAGTTCATTCTTGACCTTGGAAATAGCAGTTTGATGAAATAATCTGAATTTATGGTCCATTTATTATTTTGTCCAGAGCTTTCAACCACAGCTGAGTATGTAACAGCTGTGGTGAACACTACATCAGTGAAGCAGAAAGGACCCTGTTAACAAGAGACTGCCCGAACATGACAACATCAGCTGTCTGTGAACACCAGACCAAAAGCCCTCACAGTGTACACTGAGGAGAGGTCAAAGGTCATCAACCAGGAGTCAGTGGGTGGCAGGGAAAGAATCAAGGAGGACAGCAGAGACATGATGAGCATGAGATATGTTGACAGCTATAAAAGAAGTTAACTTGAGATATTTTTGATCATATCTTTTCCTCAGGCTTGAGATGAGTGGCTTTCAATTTAATCAGACACCCAGACAATACTGAAGTCTTCATATATCTACATATATAAACTGGATACATTTTGTGAAATACTATGATGGGTTTTTTCATTTACTGTCCCAAAGCCAGTTTTCACACATCAAGCACTTTATCAGGAACACCTCATCATCTGCTCATTCATGCATTTACTAATCAGCCTGTTATGTGGCAGCATAACTGTTGGTGTCAGACTGGCTGTTTTCATTATTTCTGACAGTTTATCTCTTGAGGTTTTCACACGTAACATTCTGTGGCATTTAAATGTAAGTTTTAAATGTTATTTTAAATTGCTAGTTTTATTTGACCAACAGTTCAGAACCCAAGCATGTTCAATTCACTTCACAGAAGACAATGAGAAGCACCAAACCCCCACAGCTGAGTAGCTAGAGAATGATTTTTACATGACATAAACTATTGCTCAATCATCAGATTTGTTGCTTTTAGGTTTTGCTGATCTAATTAATTGGCTCATCAATAAAAGCAAAACACATTAAGGCTACAACTTCTTGATCCCCTTGTTGCAACCGTTGGCCTAATCCCTGTGTGCCAAGGATGAACCTTAATGCTCAAAAATCAAACCTCATGTAACAAAATCGTAAAATCTTGATTTTCAACAGCAGCCTGTACACACAATATAAACTGACAATATCGCATACATATCATTAACAATATGCCCCAACTGTATACTGCTTTTTCTGAGCTTTCCAGCTGTCGCCATCTTTCATGTAACTGCAGCACAGTGTAGGCCATCCTCTGTTTGGTGCTCACAGTCCTCATAGGCAAAATTATATTTGATCAATACTTTTGCTCTGTGTATATATGTATACATAAATCTTGGAGAACATGGGGAGGTAAAACCCAGCAGAGTATTCGGGAATAACATTTGTATTAACACTGTTTCCTGTATGCTTCTCTAGTTCTTTGTGTTGTCTGGTTCTGTTTTGTAAATTTTTCTCAAATTGCAGCATTTCACCAAAATGTTGGGAACATGTTGCTGTATTGGCTTCTCATCAGATGTGGCTTCTTCCGTTACAGCGTGCTGTGCTCTCAGCCACTGGATCCAAACCAACTGGGGCCATTAGTGACAGTATTTGACCAAATACAGACAGCCAGTCTTGTCCATAAAGAAGTGTTACACAGATCCAGAGCCTGCCAGGTGAAAGGATACAGTCTGTTATACTGTCACGTTGTCAGCGTGGGACCGTTCCCTCCAATGGAGACGCACGCTGTGCTTTCGTCACCAACCCTGTCGCAACCAGCCACTACTCCACTATTCATCCCTTGTCCCGCCTTCTTTTTTCAAACTAATATTACTGTTTAACAATCGAAGTAATTATCTATGATTTAAACCATACTGTAAATATGAATTGATCTTTAACTATAATCCCCTGATATCCACGTTCACTGTAGAGCTCCGCATGACGCTTAAAGGCATCACTTTGTGGCCCGTCAATCAAAGCCCCCCCCCCCCCGTCATCACGCTAGGTTGAGAGCGCAGAGTTTTTCCACGTCAGTGTGTTTACCAGACTGACAGCCGCAGGAAGCCGCTGCATGCATTCACCTGTGGGCCCTTTTCCTCTGAAGACTGAGCCAAGACGCGGGGTTTGGAAGTATTGTGCTACCAAGCAGTGGAATGTCGGAAGCGTTCATTCTGTCTGTTTGTCGTAGTGAACTGAACTTTGCTCATCTTCATTCACTGTTGGCCGACTAGCCTGCGAGCTGGCCGAGCTAGGCTAGCATTAGCTACAGCAGGACTCCGTCTTTGAAAAAGCAGCCACACGCAGGTAATATACTTATTTTTTTGGTAAATCCAGATAAGCCTGTTGGTGCGTGTGTTAGTCGGCGTTTTGCTTATGAAATTCAGTCATTACATCACTGCTGTCACGGAGAGCAAACGCTGAAGACACAGCTTGTTACCCTTAGCAAAGTGACATGCTAGCTAGTTGAGCTAAGCTAAGTGGTTGACAGTCAGCTAAGTGGTCTGGTTAATGCAGCAGCTATGTGAACCACGTAAACACAGTACGTTGATAAATGAATCAAACTGTATTGACGTGTCCTCGCCATGTATTTGTTGTTTCGCTATCGCCATTGTTTGAACATCTCACTGTGCCGGGGAGTTAGCTCCTTAGCTTTATCTCAGAGTAGACGCTCCTGTCTCCATCGCATCAGCTAGCTAGCACCCCCGTAGCTCACCTGACAGCCAGGTAGCTTGCTCGTCTCACCTGTGGGTGTATGGCTGTATGAGTTATGTTGCAGTTTAATAACACGCATCGGGGAAGTCAGTGTGGCGGTGGGAGGGAGCTGTCTTTGGACCTGGAAGCTGGAGTGTTGGTGTTAGCTGTGTTTTCTGTGAGAAGGAGCTGTGCTGTGGAGACGTACAGCTGTTTGTTATCTTGAACAAACATGAAGTGCTAGCTGTCACTGATATCCAAGTATGAAGGGGGAAGTGCGAAATGCACACAACATGCAGTGATTCATTGGTGTCATTAGGAAGCTTTGACCAAGGCAGATGTGAATGTAATGTGAGTGCAATGTAAATGTAAATGTGAAAGAAAACATCATGATCCAAATGAACTAAGAAACATTGATGAATGCTCTAAACAGGGATGAACCAGTTTTGCCCCTGAGCTCTCAGGTAAATGTAGTTTTAGATACTGAACTGGTGGGGAGACTCAACATGCAGGGTTTTTAATTATTTTGCCTACTGTTTGAATGGTAAATGCTTGTATTTATATAGCACTTTGTACCACTCAAAGTGCTTTACACTACAGTTTGCCATTCATCCATTCACACACACATTCATACAGTGCATCTTTTAGCAGCACTTTTTGTTGTTCTATGAATGTATAGAGTGTTAGTAGAATTACTTTAGAAGTCAGAATGAGGAAATTGAATAGTAAATGAGAGATTAGATTTTAAGGCTAAATGATTAAACTTGACTAGTTTAGGTGGCATTACTAGTTTAATGCTGCTGGACAAACCTGCTGATAAATTGAAATGCTTTGTTTCTTGCTGCAGTTGTGAACTAGAGATCGATGGATTTCAGAATTTATGGTGAACAAATAATTGCACACCATGCTGAAAGAGCTGTTGCTTGTGAGTTGACTATCAGGTAAATCGTCCTGACTACTGTCTGCTTCAGTGCTGATGCCTTGGGCTTTTTTATGGCCCTTTCACACATCTCCTCCGAGTGTGTTAAGGTGGAATCTGTTGTGTACACTGCAAATTGTGTTGGAGAATATAATATCAGATCAGGGCTCAACATTGATTCAGATTGGAATTGGGGGTTTAAAAAATGTAATCTGTACATCCCTAGTGAAGTCTCATTTATCTGACCATCTTAACAGCTATAAGCCTGTCACTCTGTCCTTACTTCGAGCCTTCTACCTATCACACTTTCATCTTGTAAATCTGGACAGGCTGCTTGCTAAGAATTGGAAAGAATATGGCCTCACTCACCTAGTCGCTATGCTCACAAGTCTTCTTGTAAAATGAACACATCATTCATGACACAAGAAGGAGGTTAATCCAACCATTTTGAAGAGTACTGCTTGTCAAATATGAACAGCATGTCATTTTGATTCTGTTTGGTTATCTGTATTGGTTTAACGCATTGTAGATATGGAAATATTCTGTTTTGCTCTTTCTATATTCATTTGAAGGTGGAGGTTTTTAGTTTGACTTCAAGCTTAGCGACATGACTTATTACATTATACTTTTTGCAGC